AGGTACCGTATCCTGTTCATATGAGAGGTCGGAAAAATTATTCCTATCATATCCTGCCTGATACCATTCAAATGCTTAACTTGTGCTGCCATTACACAGAAAAAACTGCACCACCAAAATTCAAATAAATGGTGTATTTGACCCATATTTTATTGGGAAACAGTGATACATATTTAAATTGACTCAGCTTTATTTAAGTAAATCAATAGACCTGTCTCGCATAAATAGAGAAAGAGAGCTTATTGTAATAAATACAAGTTAGAAAGTAATAAAAGATGACATGCGCGCGCAACTCGTAGGTTCAGTATAGCCAGATTGTATTGTTGCAGAACAAATAAACATTATAACATTAAAGAAGTGATATAGTGTCAAGTGTTTTACAACGCCTTGAATCAGACAAAAGAAGCGCTTGAAAAGTTTCTGTTAACATCGTTTACACTTTTATTTTGATAAATGTTTCATCCGGCAACATCACACAATGAAATTGCAAAGGAATATGTCAAGTATAATCTGACAAAACCTTAAACGACACTGCGGTGAGTTCAAGTAATATGTAAAGTATTAGTTTGCTTTTTGTCGAATTACACGTTACAAAGAAAGAAGGAACGATTCACTCTGAACTGGCCCCTGAATAAGAATATGACATAAACCTGTACCAAACTTGCTTCGCATTGGACGCTCACCTGCAGCCTACAAGCGACGCGCGCAGTCCCGGTAATAGGAGATCGGTCTATTATGCATAATTCAATCAATTTTATGATTTATTTAACTAATATATAATTAACTCAAGATTTAAAATAGTTGAACCAAATATTTTAAATCTCTATATTATCAAGTAAGTTGAATAAATATATGGACAATTAAGTTGATTCGATATTTGCTTCGAGGAAATAAATGATATTCTTAAGACCAAACTATTATTTGCTTGCCCTAATGGCTAAAACAATCGCAAATAATATGACGATAATTTGAGACAATCAATTAATGGCTCAAATATTACTTTAAACATTTGACCCAACACCATACGTGTATGTTCCAATAATCTTATTGCTAGTGATTTCCTGATTGGGAATGGGTATACTATAACCCTTCGTGTTGAATCCTATCACTATTTAGTCGTGTGGGATCCTCTCTAGAGTCCAGATAGCCGAACCCGAAATAGAATTATTCCAACATCTCCGGCTGGCTAAGCTAGTTTTGTCCTATTTCCTTTATCGTTTATTTGGCAGACGCAACTTGTTACCCGTGAGTTCATAAGGTTCATTGAAGTGGTTGTTTGAGAACGGTCTAACTCATTTTCTGAGTTTAAATTTTGAATGTAAGTATCTACATTATGTGAACTACATGTATTCATCTAATAAGGTTTTATATTAGTAGGGACAGAATATAGGCACAAAATAAATAGTTTGTTATGGTAATATTACCTACATGATTTTTTCATTATATTTTTTTTAACATCAGTTTCCATTATTAATTTTAATTAATTATTAAAATTAAGTAATGCATTTTCTTACAGATAAAAATGGCGAATATACATCATCCTGTCACCTCGAGGCATGCAGATCTTTCAAAATAAAAAATTCAATCGTAGGTATATTTGAATCAACTAAATGCAGTTTTGATTCAATTTTGCTAATGGGTTTGGTTATATGCTTACATAGTAGTTCCAACGAAATAGGTATATTGTTGATTTTTTCTTTTACTGCTAGTTTTTAAATATATTGACACCATTTATATGTTAGATACTAGAGGAGCATTTAGTTTTATTACATTTAGGTACCTATCTACTTATGTTAGTTTCAGTGCGTTGTTTTTACAGTTGAGTAAAACTTTTGAGTTGATCTTAATTAGGTGTGTTTTTTCTTATATTTTGTTACTGGAAAGGAGGTTTATGGAAATATATCATTTTTCTCAATTATGTTTTTTTTATTCTTCATTGTACTAACCTATCCCCTCCGAGGTCCCCTCCAAATCTTACATTCCTTTTGAGGTGAAAATATAACAAACATCTCATTTAATTAGTCTATATGGTTGCACTGATTAATTAATTTTTTTGATGTATTGAACAATCTTGTCCAATATAGGTACATGTTTTCGGAAAATATAACCCCACATATCCAAAATAACTTCAACATTTATCAAGTTTCTTACTTGATAAAGATTGAAGGTATTTTGGACATGTGGGTTTATATTATCCCAAAACCTATTTCTATATTAGACAAGATTGTTCACATCAATGAAATTAATTAATCAGTTCAAGCATATAGCTAATTAACTCAACTATTCAAATGATTACAAGAAATAAAGGTAGTTTTCAAGCAAGCCTATGATATTTGACTCAAAGTTGTAATAATTTGATTCAACTATACATGAATTTAACTTAAATATTTTGTATTTAATCAACATTTCTAAGATATTTGAACCAAGCACCGATTTACTTGACTTACAACTCTACCAGAAAGTAACATGTTGCTGGTAAATATATATATTATTGGTACAAGTGAATAAGCCTTTTAACGACAACAGTATTATAGGATTCATTTAAATACACATGTACTTGGAGAATATCAAGAAGATATTTATTTCAATGAACGCAAAATTTAGTTGATTTAAACAGTTTATTTTTTCTGTGTAGTCTGTGTTTGGGCGAAACATGTTGTAGCATTGCTTTTAATAGACGAGTATCATCATCACTGGAGAAACCGAGTAAGGTTATACTCCGCCTCTCAAAGTTTTCTCTCATATGTTTCCATCTTTTTGAGACATCGTTGGAATCAAACCTATTTGTTCCAAAAACAACGAGACAATAAGGGGCAGATTTTGATAGCAGAAATCTACTGAAATTTACGAATATCTATGGACATCCACAGAAATCTAGTGAGATCTATGGAAATCTATAGACATCCACAAGAATTATAGAAATCCGTGGAAATCTATATGGGTGTACACTAGAAATCCACAGCTGTTGACCTCTCGGTTTGATAATTGCATGGGCTTCACTGATCATATTGTAACAAAATTAATGAAGCACATAGAATATTGGGTTTTATTAGCAGATCTGCCAAGCATTTTAATGTGGATTTATGTGTTAGGCTATTTGACGTTCTCGTGTTGCTACGATTGAAAAATGGGAGCATAATCTGGTCGCCCCTATATGAGGTATGGTGCAAATCTATTGAACGAGTCCAGAGAAAGTTCCTAATATATGTTTTTTTTTGAAAAGGTTTGGCTTCTACCCTACTCAGGGATATAACCATAATAAACTTTTGAATTTGTTTAATAGACTCTCCCTCGAGAATAGGCGAATAAAAATATGCTTCATTTACATTTATTAACTTATAATAGTTATTTACATTACAAGTGCGTTTATGAACATGATTACAATAACGAGTGTGAAAGATTAGAACGTCGAGGTCGTAGACCGAGTGGTTCTAATCACACGAGTTTTGTAGTCATGTTTAAACGTACCTACGTGTGATGTACAACGTTTTATCTACAAAGCGAAAAATAAGAATGTTTTTTTCAATTATTTTCGTTTATTAGTCGTTGTCTACCTCCATTTTACATTTACAGGTTTAACTTTGACATTTATCAAATCACCAAAAATAGTTGTGTTATGAATTCATAACCTAGTCCATAACACCACTGTTCTGTTATGAGTCTCGTGACATAACTCAAATATTAGAAAAATGGTTATATATAAACGCTTGTAGATAAATATTAATATAAATAGTCCTCACATTTTATCTCAGATCCCATTTTCAATAAATCGTGTCTACACCCGACAGAGAAATATGTTTTATTTGCACTTTCCTAGGACAAATTTTGTATAATTTTGTACAATTTTCCGTATGTGCAATTGTTTTAACATTTATGCAAGTGACATGGATATAAACACTATCAGCTGTATGCAACATCCTCTTTTAACTTAAAAGCGCTTTTTAAAACTGGTCACTTTTAAAAATGTGTATTCTAAACCATACAAATTTTTAAAGGTACCAGTTTTAAAAAGCGCTTTTACGTTAAAAGAGGATGTTGCATACAGCTGTATTACTTTAGGACAATTTACTAAAATTATAAGTGAAAAACTTTTTAATTTCCAGGCTCAGGAGTAGACAAGTTTGGTTTATTGTTATATTGTAGAGCATAATTTTGGTTTTTCGAAAGGGTTTTTGCTTGTGAAACTTCCGAGGAAATCTCATATATTTAATAAGAAGTGTTTATGATTGTAACGATGTAAATTTCAAATATCTAATTATTGTTTACTAGTCTCAAGATCGGTATCTGTAATTGGCATTTGCTGTTGATACTTTACTAATGAATAAATAAATAAATAAAGAACCAATGGTTAGTAACAAAATGCCGCAGCAAACTAGCTGAATCCAACAGCACCAGGACCTTCTTTCAGGCTACTAAGATGGTATACGGACCAACCACTCAAGGACTCAATCCCTTATGATCCAAAGGTGTGGCATAAGACTGCTTGAAGACAGTTCTTCCATTAGATAATTCTTGTTGGAAGGAACACCTATTTTACTACTTAACAAATTAATAATGACATCTTCAACGAAATTCCACACAAACCAATGCAACAAGAACTGAGCCCAGATTAGAGGAGGTTGAAAAGGCAATCAAATAACTTAAGAACAATAAGTCAGCTGGTACGTATCTACTGAATGGCATGGAGGAGGCCCCACACTAAGTGCCCAAACCCACACCCTAATAAGTAAAATATGGATTATTGAGACCATTCCTGCCGAACTTAGAGATGCCTCCAGAGTTGCCGTTTTTGAACTACAGAGTACTATCTTCACTTTCTGTTGTGGGAAAGTTACTTGCCAGGATATTATCAAATCGTTTAATCCCCACTGCCGAAGAGAACCTCCCAGAGACACAGTGTGGAGTGTAGCTTTTGATTCTGCATATCTATTCTCAACTGGTTTTTTTTTCTTCAGTTTTTTGGCATAAGGAAAAGAGAATAAAACTCATTAACATTATAAATTTGCTGCTTGTAATAGAATTGATGTAGATAATTATACATATATGAACATCAATTACCAATAAATATATTGTTTGCTAAAACTTCTGTCTTAAAAAAAGGTCAACATTATAGTAATCACAATTATATAGGTATCTTCACTTATATTTTATATGTTTTTTGAGTTCGGCAGCGTAACTGTTTTTAAACATAATAAAATGTGCCCTAAATCCTAATTCTACATAATTAATATAATCACATAAACACTACACACTACCTCAATTAATTTTGTACTATGATTTTAGCCCCTAGTCCAACCACATAAATATATAATCTAGAGAAATAAATTATTTTGAAGTCAAAAATTTTAAAAAACAATAGGTAATACAAAAAATTTAGGTACTTTAGTCAATAATTTTTTGACAGCCTCTAGCAAATATTAATGACCTAAAAGTATTTCATTGTAACTAATTTGTATTTTCAATGGCACAAATCATTGAGATCTATATTTGAGAAAATATTTCGTTAAATGTTAAAATAAATACAGAATACAGAATGGCATCAATTCTTATACTTTTAAATATAATAATAAGTTGTTTTGGCTTTGTTATAGCATATAAATAATTATTCATATGGGCAGTTCATCTTAAACAAAATATACTTACATTCAAAATATAAACTTAATAAACTAGGATCACAAATAAAAACCCGGGTGATATTAAAAAAAATATCTTTCACATAAAATTTTAACCGAAACAAATTGGCTAAAATATATAGACTATAATACATTTTTCATTACAGGAAGTCTTTTGTCACACGCCATCCAGTTTTATCACTTAGTTAAAATCGTAGAGACTGCATATTTTTTTTTTTTTTTTGTGAGAATGGGAAGAAGTTCAGGATCACAGCTTTGAAGTTAAGCAAAAAAAAAAAATGTTTAAAGCAGTAACGCCACACTCTGATGATGGATAATACTAATTTTAGTTGAAACATTCCATGGTTTGCATCGAGCAGCCGTGACATTTCTCATCAGATTTGCACATCATGCCTTCGCCACAGACACCCAGGACGCTAAGAGAACCTCCACACCTTTCACCGGGACCCTGAAATAGAAAGGAAATATATTTATTATTTATTAATTAATGAAATTATATTATTATATTAAAGGGATTTTATTAATCAACGGAACAAGATTTCCTTTCAACGTATTTGTGTGGGTTCGACAACTTTGGTTTTGTGTTTGGAAACACGTCTAAAGGGCGTTATTTTTCAAATTTTATTTTCACTTATTGATAAGGGGAAAACAACCAACTGGATTCCGTGGTTCCTCTGGAACTAACACTAACAATTATAAATTTAAAAGGATTAATTGACTTCACAAAAATCCCTAATCGCCTAATGCATACAACAATTCTCTGGATTGAACTTACTGACTTACAAACTGCGCGCTTTACATACGAAATCATTCAGTCACGTACATGCTACATGCTTTTCATTAAGAAAAAAATATTCTCAATAGATCTTTAACACTGTCGCGAGAAAATGCACTTTGTGTTTTTCAAAAAATCCACACTTTCATAGCGTTCTCAATTTCCATTCGAGAGGGGTTTTTTTCTCGCATTTCCGAAGTTTGGATGCTGTTCGGTTCTTCGTTGTTTGTATAACCCTCGCTAAGTAGTTGTTGAAAGTACTCTTTCCATGTTTGCAGCATTTGATCTTGCCTGATCACTAGATCTCCGTTGTTGTCTTTGATAATGTTGTTGGTTATGGGTCTAAAATCATTGTTTCTTGTTCTTATTTTGTCTCATAGAATTTCTTGGTATTGGTGCTTCCATCGACTTTCAGCTCCTGCAACTCGTGATATTGTTATTCTCTTCTTTTCCTTCTTAGTAGTTTATAAGCCTTTCTTCTTCTTCTAGGCTGTTTCCGTCCTCTGCTGGACATAGGCCTCTTCTATCATCTTCCATCGGTTCCTGTCTTGGGCCGTCAAGATCTAGTTTTTTCCAGCAATCCTTTAGTTGTCATCACGCCACCCTGTTTACGGTCTCCCAATGTTTCTTTTTGAGTCTCGTGGCCTCCAGAGATCGGTGATTTATTTCGGAAGTTTGATTGTCTCTGACGACCTTAATGATATGGCCGAGATAATTATATTCGTTCATCACTTCGAGAGTCTGATTTTCAATAGTTACGTCGACATTGTCTGTGCTCATTATTTTAGTTTTCCGGATATTCATTGTCAGTCCTACTGCTTTGGATGTTTGTTGTAGTTCCTTTATTATGACTCTGAGTCATTACTGATGATCACGATATCGTCTGCATCTCAGATGGATCAAGTGTTTTCTGTCAATTGAGATACCCTTGTCCTGCCATGGTAACATTTTAAATATGTCCTCTAGGGTCAGTGTAAATAGCTCAGGGCAGATCGTGTCACCCTCTCTGGCTGCTCTATTTATTAAAATTTTCTCAGTGGTCAGTTCATCGTCGATCTTTTCTTGCATTGTGGCCCATGTCTCAACAAAATCAAATGCCTTGTGATAATCGACAAAAGCCAGATGCAAAGGAATGTTGTATTCTGTACACTTCTTGATCAAGGTTCGTATACTCTGTATGTGATCAGCAGTAGTCCTGCCGAAGCCTTACCGAAAACCTGCTTGTTCAACTGGCTAGTAGAAATCAAATTTAGCATTTAGTCTATTTGGAAGTATTTTCGTCAGTAAGTAAGATAGACAGCAAACTTGAATAGTGGCGTTTTGCCAGGCTTCAGGGATTTTTTTTTTCAAGACATTTACTTAGCAATGAGGGTGGTCTTTTCCAATGTTTTCCCTCTGATTTTAGGCATCTCGCTCGTAATTCCATCCTCCCCTAGAGCTTTTCCGTTCTTCAGCTGTCCTATTGCAGTTCTTAACTCACTCATTTCAGGTATTTCTTCGGATCCAGCATTTATGACGGGTTGTGCGTGATTTCTTATGTCGGCTACTGGTAGTTGTATAGTTTGATTATATAAGTCTTGGTAGAAAACCTGCATTACTGTCGTGATCTCGTTTCTTTCATATACAAGATTTCCTTGGACATTTTCTAATTTCTGGATTAGGAGTTTTTCTCTGTTTCTTTTAGATTCAAGCACATTCATGTTCATGTTATTTTCGAACGATTTTTCAATTTGTCTAATGTGGTATCTTCTTAGGTCTTTCCTATGACCATCACTTTGTTCTCGATGATAGTATTATATTCTTTCCTTTTATCGGCGAGCTATATTATCGATGGGCGTATGCTCTTTTCAATTCGCCTTTTGCGTTCCAGTTGAGTGTTGATTCTAAATTTTGCTCTAACCAGTCGGTGGTCACTGCCTGTGTGTTTAGTACAGAGAAATCTGGGCAGGTTTTCTTGTTCGTTGATAGAATATAATTGATTTCGTTTTTTTCCGTGCCATCTGGGCTTTTCCAAGTCCATTTTCTTTGAGGAGGTTTCTTGAAAAAGGTGTTCAAGCAGTAGAGATTTTCACGACAGAGAAAGTCTAGCATTACCTTTCCTCTATGATTTCGTTCTCCTAGCCCAAAATTTCTAATGTTATGTGAGTCTGTTGCATTTTGTCGTCCTATCTTCGCATTAAAATCTCTTAATATTATCTTAGATTTTGTTCTTTCAGAGTTCATTGCTACCTCGTAGAATTGTTCGCATTCTCCTTCTGGAGATTTGCTGGTCGGAGCGTATGTTTGGATTATTTGTATGCTGTGTATCTTGTTGAGCTGTATCATGATATATATTTCTGTCTGAGATTGCACGAGTTTCAGTGTTAAGGTGTTTAATCCTTCTATGTATTATGATGGCTATTCCTTCAATATGAGAGTTGAGTTGGTTTCCTGGTTTCTTTGAAATAGCAGATGTCCGGACTGCAGAATGTTACTAACTTCCCACTTAATCTTGTTTCACTAATCCCGACCACATCCCATTTTATGTGTCCAAGTTCATTCTCCAAGCTTTCAAGGTGTTCATCCAGCCTCATGTTGTATGTAGCAAAATATAGGCATTTATTTAGGGGCTAATGGTTTTCTGGTTTTTCTGGGTTTGTTAGTCGCATTTTGCCCGCCCCCCAGTATCCGCAATTAGCAACTGAGTGATTGAAATCGGTATTTCATCTATAAGGACGTGTATAGGCATGCCTGCTAGGAGAATCAGAAAAAAGTTATTTACTATGAAAATGGCCTTGCAGAATTATCTTACATAAAAGTACGGTCATTCGTACTACATTCTTGTTCTAAGGACATGTGTCCAATTTTGAGGGTTTGTTGTAGTTTTTATATAAATAAAGTCTGTGTAGATGTGATTGAAAGGATTTTGAAGAGAAGTGAACATAATTGAAGTTTTACCACCATGAAGACATTCATTTAATGGCAACTTTAGTGCTTCCCCATCAGAAGCTTGTCTTGCTAGTCTCCACATTTCTGTGATAACTTCGCCTTCTTCTAGGCATCTGTTTTAGTGCTGTGTTTATTTTATCTAACATAATTTCTGGTAAGTTTTGAGAATCTACATTTGAGGCGATGCACCCTTAGATTGAAAATACAAAATTATAATCAAAATCAGAATCGGTTATCAAAGTCAGGATGAGCATCACAATCTCTTACATCTCATTCTGGCATTCTTCTTAGTTTTAACTGTTATTGTCTTCAGTGGGATTCTGCATCATTACTAGTCTTGCATTATTTCTGTTTCTATGTATCGTGTCACATTCCAGATCGTACTAGTGGTTTAAATTTTTGTTTCTTGGCTTTACTATCACAGTCACTCTTGCTGCTCCTATGATTGCTTCGGATGGTACTTTCCAACTCGTGTCGATGTCGTCTGAGTTTGTAATTTCTTGGCTTCGGCGCTCTGTTTTCGCCTGGAAACGTCTTCTGATTTCTTAGTTTTCCAGTTCTGCTGTATCCCACTGTTGATCTTGTTCAAATTCTACATTTTTTGAGCTTGATATTCTGATTTTCAGCTTTGCTCTAACAAGAAAATGACCCGTGTCCGTTTCTGCCGCACTACAGCTTCTTACATCCTGGACGTTGCTTCCATATTTTGCATCAATTATGACGTGATCAATTTAGTTTTTGGTTCTACCATCTTTGGAAGCCCATAATGTCTCTTTATGGATATCTTCATGTTCATACAGTATAGATTTAATAAGGAGGTTGTTGATTGCTGCTAGTTTCGCAAGTCCTATTATTATTTGTGAATATGTGTAGGCTATTGTACCCACATATGGCACTTTAATGACGCTTCTCTTCCTAACTTTGCATTAAAATTTCCCAAAATAATTTTCGCCCTAGTTACTTTCCAGGGTGTCGTTAAACTCGTCCTTCACTGCTTCATCTTTGTCTTCGGTTGGTACGCGTACAGACAGTAAAAGGGTAGCATAATCGTTCGCTCCTCAGGGTTGCAAATGTTAGGACTAAGCCCAGCAAGTTGTTCTCAATTGTAAAGCTGGTACCGAATTGATGTACGTTCTGGTTGCTACCGCTATAAAAGATAACTGAGTTTCCTCAGCCAAGGCCATCTTATTTTCTGTAGTGCAGTGACGTGCGCCTTCAGCCGCTCAGTCCTGTACCAGCTAAATACGTTCCATGTTCCAATATTCGTTAGTCCTTTTTCTTTTTCTTGCTTTGGTCGTCTTCGTTTATCCATCCCGATCCGAGGCTTGTCATACGCCTTCACAACCTCAGTATATGAGGTGGGCTAGATATCCTCCCGCTCAACCTTCCTCCATTATCCTTGGGACCAGCAGTGACATCCGAGAGAGCTATTCAATTCACCATTCAGATGCCCCAGGCAAAGTTCTCCATGATTTTGGACTTTGGATTGGACTTTTGGACGATTTTGGACCCCACCACCCCTCGTAGGTGGAGGGGTACCAGATGGTCAGCTTCCTTTTTCTTGTGAAGGGCACTACAGTTATTTTCCCCTAATTACAATGACTATGTCGTCTGCAGGACTGCAGGTCGACCTGCCATAGTTGGATTATGGCCAGCAAGTTGTCCACCAAGAGAGACCACAGAAGGGAAGAAAGAACCCCTTCCTGCGGGCAACCCGCCTAAACTGTACTATTTCCCCCTGTAGGGTCATCGTTATATACCTGTATATATACCAAGCATCTTGCGAATCCAGTCACAGATAGAAAGCTCGATCAATTCCTCTGGAAATAGCCGATTCATAAAGGGAGTTATTAAGAGTATTGAAAGCTCTCTCTATACCCAACAACGATCTCAAATATCCTCTAACCACTTTCTGACTGGAGTATAAAAGTGGAGAAACTAATGGCTATAAGAAATTTAAAAAAAAACTATTTAATTCGCCGACGTTTCAACCAGTTAATTTGGGTCTTCTCCACGACTGAAACAAGGACAAAACACTATAGACCAGTCAGTGGGGATCCAAAAAAGGGCTTGACTGGAAATAACTGGGGAAGTTTTAAAATTTTGCAGGTTTAAGCGTGTAGAATTGAAATTTACAAAATGCACAATTCTAGACTTGTCGCCGGCATCTTGCCAAGATATGTACCCGCCAAAAACGGTTTTTCGCAATTCTCGCCAAAACTATGCGTTTTTGGAAAAAATATGAGGAGAACAAAATTGAAGAGGAGGAAATTTTATATATACAAAAAATGTATCAAATTAGCATATTTTTGCTAGAGTTAACCGTTTAGGCAAAAAAGTCATCGTGCCTAAAGTTTAATGCGTAAGTTTTATACAGATAGAGGCGATTTTTCTAAATAAGATGTGTAGTAGGTATCCTCAAAACTATTTTTTTAGGGCTTTATATAATTTTGCCATATCTTTTATCAAATTATTTGATTAATCATTTAATTCATCAGTGTTATTTATCGATGATCAATTAATTTTAATTGTTAAAAATGCTGTTCTTGTTTCCACACCACACATGGGGTACAGTACACGGCGCGTTTTTTTTACGTTGTTTTTGGTTTCCCTTGTAGGTCTGATCCACTTTGTAAGTGAAATTACGTTTCGTATCTGCAAAACCCCGACGGACATTAGTAAAGTTCGGTTAATCCTCAGCGATCAAAAACATACATAACAACACTTAAAATCGAAAATCACATGGGCTTCTGCCAACAGTGTCATTTTTCAGCTCGCGGAGGATAAACCGAACTCGCTCATAATTCGCTAATATCGATGCTTCCACCGGTGAATAGGTTTGTCTCGATTTCGGGATCAATGTCGGTTGCATTGATTAATTCGTCGAATTCTCGTTCTTCAGTCGACAAACAAATATCGAGCAGCGTGCATGTGACCTTCATAAGATTCGTCCAGCGTCATTGAGTGACATTTTCGCAGGTTCCGTTGTAGATACCGCAAATCATGGAGCATTTTAATCCTCTGCAGGTTCTACCACAATTGGTCTTGCACTTACACATGACAAAAATGGAAGTAATGTTTTGGGCGCAGGAACCTTTCCAAGTGGTAACTGGGGTGATACCAAATTTAAATTGGGTTTTCTTCCAACCCCATTCTTCAGCTTCTTTTGAACAGCCATACCATTGTTGTACTTGATGGAAGGTAGGTGAAGGATGCAGTTGTACAGCGGCGCTTGTCGTTAGTAAAGATGCCAAATTGAATTTTGTCTTGCACTCTATGGATCCAAAGTCAAAGAGAATATTGATCTTGATGAATATCGATACCAGTGTTATTGAAGAGAAGCTGAAGAATGGAGTTGGAGGAAAACCCAATTTGTTATCAACCCAGCTACCACTTTAAAGGTTCCTGAACCCAACAAGACCAATTGTGGTAGAACCTGCGGATGCAGAAAAGCAGGATTAAAATGCTCCATAACTTGAGGTATCTGCAACAGGAAGATCTGCGAAAATGTCACTCAAGTGACGCTGAACAAATCTTATGAAGATGACTTGAACTTGCTCGATATTTGTTTGTCGAGTAGAGAAGGAGATTGGAGAATTTGACGAATTAAATAAAACCAACATTGATCCCGAAATAGAGACAAATATATTCACCGGAGGAAGCATCGTCCATGTCCATGTCCGTCGGTCCTTTGCAGATACAGAACGTAGTTTCACTTGCAAAGTTGATCAGACCTACAGGGCAGGGGAAACTAAGTTAAAAAAAAAAAACGAGCCGTGTACTTTACCAGTGGAAACAGTATGTTCAATAATTGATTAATCAGTTAATTTGATAAAAGATACGCGACTGTTTCATAACAAAATTATATAAAGTCTTGAAAAAGTAGTTTTGGAGGAACCCTACTACACATATTATTTCGGAAAATCGCTTCTATACTGGGTATACCATTTAAAATGGAACAGGCTAGATATCTGATGTCACTCTTATTTTTTTTTTAATCGGCCGTACACGTATAATTTCATTGTGTGAGTGTTTGAAACATTTTCAGCACTAATTTAACCCTCTAGGGGGTAACTTAGCCCTCTAGGGGTTAGGTGCGGTATTTTCATTTGAAAATAGCGAAATTTATTCTACAGATTAAAGAATATCCAAGAGATAAAAAAAAAAAACGAGTGTATTTTCACTTCCGTATAGTGATATATATATATATATATATATATATATATATATATATATATATATATATATATATATATATATTCTAACCCAATTTTCTAAGATTTGTGTTTGTTTGAAAAATTCTTTAAATAGGTACAGTCGTGAGCATTGAAAGTGGGACACCCGACTGACAAGTATTGTAATTTTTCGCTATTTTCGCTAAATATGACAATCCCAGTCATAGCCGACGGTGAAGCTGGTGAGCCCGTTTTACAATAGGAAAAATCAGGTGTCCCATTTTTAATGCTCACGGCTGTAGGTATTTTTTTTTGTTATTTACAATTTCATTTTTGTAATTAAGTATTTCAAATTTCATTATTTGCTCTTGAAATCCGCTCGCTGATGATACCCTTCGAAACATGGCTAGAGATGGATAATAGCAAAGGAAAAAAACTCAACACATTTCTCAAAAGTTTTATTTTTTGTTAGAATATGGATATTTTGGGAGATTTCGATATACTTTCATCAGCCACTCCCACTACCCGAAACAAAAATTATTTAACACAAACGCACCGCTCTCTTCAAAAAAACATAAACAAATGAATCAAATCCGCCACAAATCAGTGAAATGGCAAGTGGAATGCGGCGGCGCAACAAAAACAAGCAACTAGACAAGAGATATATTCTATCTTTATCTGAAGCATTCAACTTCCAATAGGTAAGTGTTTCTCACTTTTAGTTTTCTTTGGTTGGTAACACTAGTATCGCCAAAGAATAAAGTTACCAGTAACGGATTGTTAGCCCGAGGATAATGTTACTTGAAAATACCCCTCGGAGATATACTACAGATATAGCAACCTCTGGTTTACTTATCCGATAGATAGTTATTCGCCGAATAAATTATATTTATACTGAGGTGAAAGTACCGGGCCGGGGGTGGGACCAACCCTTACTATTCCAAATGGAACAGGGGGTCGAGTGATACCTTTTTTAAAAGAGCGTTAAATTTTTTTCAAATGACATAAAATGAATGAGAATTAAACGGTCTTTTGAAAGAGAGTTAAAGTTGAAGTGCTAAAAATGGTTGCAGAAAACTTCCCGCTTTGAAAATCAAATTACGTGTACCTACAAGCGATTTTTAAAAAAATAAACGGAGCATCAGATATTTTAGCCTGTTTCGCTTTAAATGGTACACCCTGTATAAAACGCTCGGTGATAAAACTTATGACGACTTTTCCGCCTAAATGGTTAACTTTAGCGAAAATATGCTAAAATAGGTACATTTTCTGTATGTATTCCTCCTCTTTAATTTTGTTTTCTACATTTTTTTGGCGAGAATTGAGAATAACCGTTTTTGGCGGCCATTTTGGCAAGATGGCGGTGCCGGCGAATCTCGAATTATACATTTTGTAAATTTTAGTTCTATACACAATGGTCGCGTTCCTAAGCACTCGAAATGTTGAGTGATTAGTATGCGGCTTTGTTCCAGCTAGTGAAATGCACAAGGTAGAAATGTTTTGATTGGCCTAGAGCTGATTTTCATCTGTTTTTAACATAGCCGCTGAATAATCACTCAACATGTTGAGTGCTTAGGAACGCGACCATCCAAACCTACAAAGCTGCAAAATTTCAAAACTTAGTTTCCGAGAACCGAGTTTCTTCCAGGTAAAAATCTTCAATGACTGGCCTACTAAGTAAGAAGTGAGTTAATAGTTGTTTACTTTAGATTTCCACTGGAACTCACTAATCGAATATATCTACATTTAACGTTTTCTGAGTGAAAATGTTGTAAGAATGCCTTTATTCCAAATAAGGAAAAGTGCGAAACAAATTCTCTGATAGTTCACCTAAAACTGACCAATTCCAGTGCAACATAACACCACAAGACCGATGAAAACCGAATACACAAAAAGTCAACAAATAACTTTTTGCAAACACTCTTTTTTTATCCAATCACATGGCACGTTAAGTGTTTTCACAGATGGAAACACATCTCTGTATAATATTTTTGCTTGTTCAGATTCAGATTCTCTATATAGACCGGACCAACCTACTAGACACATAGTGAGTATAATAAGACGAATTAGCCTGTACCAGGTTTAGGAGAATCCAGGTAATGGTAATTGGTCCCATTAAAGCCTGTGTCTCGTAGCCTGGTCCTGTCTGTATACGTGATTCCCTTAATCATTTTTCTATGCCTTGTTTTTTGATATTTGGGAACGATGAAAGATGAAATAAAACCACACACCTTTTCAAAAATTTGCTTTTTATTCAGTTACTCAGTGTCATATTCAATATACATTTGTGTATATTATATGGGGTCGAATAAACATCATCCAGCAATAGATAACTTAAGCGCTTATAGAATATTATCTTGCTGGATTAGATTTATTCAATGTTTTGTCATCGGATCAGATTTGTTTTCAGCATTGGTCGTCTTTTTTTTGTGGCGCAACCCCAAAATGAAATTATACAAAAATTTACAATATAAAATAAATGCATTTTTCCAAAGTAAAATATCACATTTTTTAACAAAAACAATTTTACCTCCTAAATAGTTACTACTTAAAAAAATGCATCTTATAATATGGTGATCAATTTTTTCATAATAAAAAATATAATTGTTGTTATCAATAATGAACAAACAACAACAATATTTATTTAACAGATATTCTAGTCTATATAGATAATAAAAAGAGATCATTATTCATTTGCCCTTATCTATGTCCAAATTGAAAATAAATTTCTTATTAGCTGCCTAAGATTTTTTATAGAAAATATTCATGGTGACTTTGGAATAATAATTAAAAACATGTTATGTAATAATAATTATTCTATAACATTTTGAGTTTGTTATTTTGTACTTACTCTATAATATACTTATTATATATCACAAATTTATCTTTAACTTTATAAAATTTACAAATAAATATAAACAAACTTAAATTTAAACTGTAAAATAATCACAGAAATTATGTAATACAAAATTACCGAAGCTAATTAAATAAATAATCTTAGTCTAAAATCACAAGCAAATAAATTCGATATGAAAAAATTGTCTTTTTTTTTGTATGAAGCCGCGTATACACCAAGCGGCAAACTTTGAATCCAGAACGCACACAACGGTATCCAGAGTCAACGGGAGTTTTCAGTGAACGTTCAAGTTGATGTTTGTTTCTTTGAATGAACAGCAAAAGGAAACAAAAATTTCCCATTTGGTGTTCGTTTGCTTAGTGTGCACGCACCTTAATATGGATGAAAAACAAAAATAACGGAATACTCAGAAACATAAATCAAAGTCACGCCACTATTTTTTTTAATACTGTTTCTAGTAACGTTTGGAGCATTCCATGGTCTGAATCGAGCAACCGTGGCATCTTTCGTCTGATTTGCACATCATACCTTCTCCACAAATTCCCAAGACATTGTAGGTACCCCCGCAACGCTCATCAGGTCCCTGAAAGAAATATTTTTAATTTTTTTTTTTGTGCGCAATTCTTATTGTTCGCACGTGAATTGGTCCATGATGCGTCACCACAACATAATAATTTTGAGATGTGCACTAACACCAATCAGCACTTGAAAGAAAATTTCGAACACTCGCGATTATGCCAAACTGGATTATCTAACCTAATGTAATAAGGTTTCAAAGAGTTCAATTTTGCGTACGGATACGGAAAGAGATCTTCGAGTTCCAAATGTAACATTATTCTTACCTTTGCGCAGATCCGCCTATTGCAGGCGTCTCGGGCTTCACCCCATACGCAGAGATTTGGAGGGTTCCTGTCGCACTCCTCCTGTGACGAACAAGGCGTACATATCCATGGCTCGGTTATTGCCCTGGAACAATGGATATTGTTTTTGAATATTTAAATAGGTATGGAGAAGTTATTTGATTTATCATTTTGGTTCAAAAAGAAGGCAGATGAATGTTCACTTAGATTACACTGAGATGAGAATGAAAATAGATAGGTGGTTTAATTCTATGACCAAAAACAAGGAAGCTGGATTTTGGAGCATGTACTCCAAATGGTAGACGTATCTTTTTCGGATGAAGTAAAGTATTTAGGAGTCACCGCAGAACAGAATGCTAAAGTGCCACAGTGAACCAACAGATCAAATGGCAGAAACACGTGACTTAGACATTTCATTTGAAGTGGTAGTAAAGGACCGCCAGTCATGGAAGAACATAAAATTGCTGCCCATAATAGTTCAAGTCGCACGGATTTCTATAAATGCCTTTGTGCCTGAAAAGAGGCTTCACATACATATATAGCCAGTTGGACTTAGAAGCTCTAGAAGCAGCTGGTGTGGAAAGGCCAACAATAATGTTACTGTGAAGAATGAAGTAACCATGATGTGAATACCAGGACATCAAGGCATAGATGGCAAAATTGGCAACGAAGAAGCAGAGGCTACGTAATGGAAGTGAACAGATAGGAAAAGATGCAAATGCTAACTCATTAGAGTCTGAAGACTCACCCGGGATCAGAGACAGGCAAAAAAATTCATATCCATCTCAGCTGTTCAGTGCTCTCTGGGTTAACCTAAGCACCCCAACCATTACAATCTACATGTCATTTTTGTTGAAGGGTGGTGCATTGGCTAACAGACCAATACATCCAGACCAATATGGTAGAAAGTACGTTGGAAAATAAAGAAGTTGTGTTAGGAGCCTTCCTTGAAATAGAGGGAGTGTTTGACAATACTTCCCTCGAGGTAATCATGGTGTAGATGGATAGACTGCATGCTTCGAGGTAGAGTCATCCACTCCACGTTCGTAGGTAAAACAGTAACGGCTCGAGTTGCAAAGAGATGTCCGCAAGGCGGAGTGATCAACCATGCTGTGGAGTCTGGTGATGGACGAGCTGATAGAGCTACTGAAGAGCAACAACCATCAAGTAGTGGGATATGCAGATGACTTGGTCATAATATCCCAGGGAAAATTCAATCATACAGTTAGAGATCCCATGCAGCAGGCTCTAACAATGGTCTCTCGGTGGACAGAGACTGTAGGGTTGAAAATTAGTGCCACCAAATCGACAATTCTCCCCTTTACCAAAAGAAGGAAAATGGAGGGACTTCGACGTGTTTACCTTCAGGGAAATCCATTTACGTTGTCGGACGAAGTTAAATATCTTGGGGTAATCATAGACTCAAAATTAACTTGGAAAAAACTGGACAAAGTAATTAAAAGGTCAGAGCTGGTACTTATACTAGCCAGGAGAGGTTTCCGAAAAACCTAGGGGCTGCGGCCGGACATGATGTACTGGCTATACCTAACGGTTGCAAAGCCAGCAAGAGCATATGCGTCTTTGATATACTGGAAAAAGACACAACAAGAGCCAGAATAAGACTTGGCAGGGTGCAAAGACTTGCCTGTCTAGGCACAACAGGGTGCATGAAAAGCACATGCAAGTCCTACTAGACCTATATCAGCTACACATTGTAATTCAGGCGGAAACCATTAGGATGGCCTCCATAGACAATGAAACAACCTGAGCAAACTAACAGTCGAATCAGGCCACACACAAATAAGGGAAGTAATAAATCTGACAGTATTCGATATAATAACTGTCTATGCACTTCCCAAATACTCACCTGACTTCCAAGTCCTAATTAGTGAAAGGGAGGAATGGGAAAACCAACATGCATTCTCCAATTTCAAAGGCCAGACCTGGTACTCAGACGGGTCAAAGACTGAGAACAGGAGACCTTCTTCTTTCTAGGTTCACATACATTGTTTTCCAGGCAGAGGTAGGTATATGCAATACTACAATTCGCAAGAATCAACAATATGAGACAGGAGACTCACTTCACTCACAGACAATCAGGCAGCACGGGGGGTATTGAACAACCCTAAGACAAACTCTGCACTGATAATAGAATGCCGAGAAGAACTCAACAACTTGGTGGACCAAAATAACGTCACATCGATGTGGGTGCCAGGACATAGCAGTATCCCGGGCAACGAAAAGGCTGACGAACTTGCACGCAGGGGTTCATCCACAGAATACCTTAGTCCCGAACCAGCTCTCGGAGTGCCCAAAAGCACAGTAAGAAAAGATCTGAAGGAATGGATCAAAACAAAACGTGCTCAATACTGAAAGCAAATACCCAAGCATGCACATAGAAAAATCTTCATAGGTGGCACATGCAGCAAAAGAGCAAAAAAGGCTGCTATAACTAAGCAGGAATCAACTCAGAGTAGCAACCGGCTTTCTTACTGGGCCTGTCCTAGTAAAGAAGCACCTGCAAACAACGGGCTTTTACAACGGAGACACTAGCTGCAGACTATGCTGAACAGAGACTGAAACAGCCCAACATATTATATCAGAATGCGATGCACTAACTCGCAGAAGACAAAATATATTTGGAGAAGATGAACTAGATCCAGACACATACGGCAAACATCCAACAGACCTACTTCGTCTACTGCAGGGAACCAGTGTTTTGGAATGGGTGCAGTAAACAGGAAGATTCAGCACAATAAGCCTCCGGCTGCAGCACTACTCAGAGTATAATCAGACGAATTCGAAAAAAAAAAAAAAAATACAATCTACAATCAGGAAAATGAACCAAAATTCTTCGACATAAACAGAAGAGATATTAGAAAACTTATTGCAACCGATAGGCAAGTCAGATTTTGTGAACAAGCAACAGAAACAAGGAAACAGCTAGAGCATCTGTGAAAAGAAAACCCTGCTCAGTTTTTCAAAGCACAGAGATATCTTGCTTGTGATCACGAAACAACCCAGGAAGCTGGATTTCTTCTGGCAGGAACCTACAAATCTTAGACACCTGCTAGAAGTAGAGAGTCATGCACAAAATATCCGGAAAGGTAGCAGAGCTGGGTGGATCTCGTCACAGATTCACAATCTACTCCAATATATCAGGGGAGAAGAAGAAGTAGTTCCTGAATGAAATTTTTTAGGACTTGGTTTAACATGTCATCCACTGATCTCACGCAAAGTACAAGTCGTCCTGATGATTCCCATTACCTATTTGATAAAGTATTCCCGTTAAATTCCTATATTATCAGGGCAATCTGAAAGAGGTAAGAAATTAAAAAAAGAAGTGGCTCAGGTAAGCTGCATGTTAGATTATTAGAGTTAACACCAATCCCGATAAAACTAGATGAACATACCTAAGTGTGGTCGTACTGCGAAGGATCTCAGAAAATGAAGAGTTTGAAAAGAAAAGTGAGATTTATAAACAGTTAAACAGACAGGACCAGGCTACGAGACATATAGGCAAATTGACTTATACCCATCTCACTGCAGGATCCTCATGGTGGAGCGTCCCCAAGGATATTACATACTCATACTACTACAGGATTGTTCATCGGCCTCGATTTATGGAACCAAGGTTATATGGTGTAGCACCGTTGCCGACGTCATCAACGGTGTCGTCAGCTGTCTGCGTCTGCATCAGCGGTCGTAGTTTGAAATATAAATGTATGATGAAAAATCATGTTTGCATTAAACAAAAGCCAGCGGAATGATAGCCACAAACACCCTACATCAAAACGAAAAAAGACCCCTAAGCCGGGTACGAGCTAATTTGTCTTATCACTCCCTAAGTGTCTAGTAGGTTGTTCCGTGTATAGAAAACAGATGTAAAGATTTTATCATAACAATCAAAACCACTATTCACTTTCCAAAATAAACTATACCTACTAAAACTAAGTAGAAAATATGGGAAAGAGCTAGACAAAATAAGTTAGAACTTGCAACAATGCAAAATAATATTCTCTTCCCATTCAAATAATGTATTTAAGTGTTCCTACTTACTTGAGTTCAATGGAATTAATTTTCTTGTAACTTATTGTAGTAGAAATGTAGAAAAACGTAGAAATTACCTTTTGTTTGTTGACAGTTGGATAATTGGTTCGTTGAAATGAAAATAGCCCTTTAATGGATTCTAAAGTAGCTTGTTATGGTAGGTAATTTCTGAGAAGTCTTTGTAAACATTTATGTATCAACCTTTCTTTAAAGTAATTTTGATAATTTTAACATTTCCAGGAACATTTTAATCTCAATTGAAAATTAACGTCTTGTTTATGCCAAAATATATTAGGGAGTCGAAAAACAAATTTTATGGACAAGCACGTTGCACGTTGATGGAAATCCCAGAGAGAATCATTTTATTCTTTTCCTTTGTTAATGTTTCGAAAATTCCAAAATTTATGATAGGTTTTCAAGGTATAAAAAAGAGAAAGCAAAAACTCTATATTTGATGTATCTAGCTCTTACTGTTAAGTTTAAATGATTGAAAATTTCCAATAATTTGGACTGAACTAAAATAGATAATGGATCTATTGAAAGAGAATTGAATGCTAAGTAGAATTATAACTTATCTATTAGGTAGGTAGGTATAGTTTCTTGTATATAAAATGTAAAGTCTCTAACTTTAACAAAATTGTAGATACCTATCCAAAGTTTTGAATGGATAGTTTAAGAACTTCCTTGTTCGCCTTTACGATTACCAAAGATATTGATTGCAAATTTAACCAAAACACTTTTTTATGCATGTTCCTTTTGGAACATTTCTTCTGTAGGTATAATTTCTAAATTATGGACTGATATCAATGTGGGATTCGTTTAAAACCTGGACTAAATTAATTGATATTGAAACTAATTATCGAAATAATATACTTACATGGAATGGACGTTGTAACTTAAGGTTAAAATAGCTACAGCAATAAGAATTAGTACGCTAGCATTCATGATTGCAGCAGTGCTGGAACTAGTAGCAGTTTGTGGTAAGGCTCGTGGAAATTGCCCTGGAACAAACAAATAATTATCAAATGAAGCCTGGATTCAACCTAAAAGTAATACCACATTGCAAATTGGCCCTATATAACACAAGCTTGGTTAGCTCGTTTTTTACCCAGACATTACAGTATATTTATCAGACGTTCCGCGAATATGTTTTATAGATATCCAGTACATCAACATATTGGTGGATGTCTTGGATATATTTAATAGATATCCAAATGTCCCCCTATATTCATAGGATACAGGTGATAAACGATATGGATATCCAATAACATCTCATGGATATATTTATTTCAGTTTGAGTTTCTTCTTTATGATTCATGAATTAATTGCCGAAATATTAATTGAAATGTTTTGCATTTCCCAAATTTACAATGGATATCCACGGAAATGTATATTGAGAGAGTATTATATTTTTATGTACCTACTTTATTAATGACTTATCTCTTTAATAGATATTGCATACCTACTGTGGGCTGATTGGAAACTAGACTGGAAGAATTCAAGTTTAAATTCAATTTATAAAATAGTTCATTTGGAATTGTAATAACTAATACCTTATATGCTTTATGACGAGCCAAAATGGTAACTTTGAAAAATTTCAGCCATTTTTACTCAGACGGATGGAAGGAATTTGTATTCCTGTATTGACCCTGATCCACAAATTAGGAAAAAAGTATATACATACATAATAAGCAAATATTTTACCCCAATTACTACAGCACCATGAACACAGCAAATAAAGAGTCTCTAAACTGAAGCTTCAAGCTTCACACAGGAGTAGCTAGGTATAACAAAAGCGAAATATTAATTAGTTATTATTCTTCTTTGTATGCACGTGTAGGTATCTCTTTTTAGACTCCTAATTCGTTCTTCGTATTGCAACGTTCAAATTAGTTCTATTAATAGCATTTATGCCGACATCAGCTAGTCATTATTGCCTAAGTAGGTACAAATTAGCATTAGCAAATTTACCATATATTATAATAATGTAATGGGAAGAACTGTAATAGGTGAATGGGTTAATTAAATTTCATCATAATCTGGCTAGGTTTATGAGATTATAATTAGGGTTTAGTTTTTCTAAAACTTCCTAGTTTGGTTCAAATTTTTAAAATTTTTCCAGCCTCAATCTTTGCTGACAAATGCAAGTAACAGTTCACTTATTTTTATAATTTTTTTCCAAACTTCTGCCAACTATTCTAGCAAATATTATTATTGCCACTTGCCACACTATCCTTAAATAATTATGTATGTGTTAATTTATCCATTAAATTGATTCAGTATTGTAAATATGTGTTATTTTGTTTATTATCATTTAACTTATTTACCTTATAATGTAAAGATCGACAGGTAAGGTACGGACACCGAGAAAAGTACGAGTACGCGCCAAGGTAAAGCGCAGTCACCCTTCTTTCCGCACTTGTTCTTATACGACACATCTATAATTTTTTGTTTTTTGAAATAATCCAACCTTTATGGAATCAACAAAAACTCTGGAGTAAGTCAATAAACTAGAAGAGAGGTTTTCTCCGGTTACACCAAGCGCCGTTCGTCAGATGCAACCGAACCCGAACCACTAAACTGAAATGAGAAGAAGCGTCACGTCTTTATCTATATGATTTGCTTCTACCACCTCCACTCGAAAATTGGGGTTTTATCATCAGAAAGAAGTTGATATTGTGATAGTGGGTTTAATTGTTTGGTACCGATTTGAAATTAATTTCTCATAGAGATAGATAGACGCCAAAGGGCGTTGGGTTCAATCTTTGTTAGCAAAGTTTTTTTTTTTTTGCTTATTTTTCGGAGGGCGGAAATCACCTGGGAAGTTTTTACTAATCCCAAAAAAGTGAGCTAACACTTAGGGAGTTTGTAGAAATCCAGGGAATTAGGACAAAGTTAAGATGGAAAGAGAAGTTTACGGAATTTTCACTAAAGCGATATTAAACCTCAGAGTTTCAGTCCTCACCAGAGAAATTTTGAGGACGTTTGGGGAAGTCCGAGGAGGTATGGGGTATTTCAAAGGAAATATAAGGAAGTTTATGGAAATCCGAGAAAGCACGAGAAATATTTGCAGAAAATAGAGGAAGTTCCTGTGCAGAAGTTGGGAGGTGGTTTCTGTTAACTGCTTTGAATATTCTAAAGTTCCATCAGTCCCTTTTGAATATCATGAAAAATATTTGAGAGCTTAAATAGCTTGCCTTAAAATTTGAACAAGTACCTAATCCTACTATTGTGCTTGCAAAATTACCTATCATTTGGAAAGTTATACAACTCACTGTACATTATTCCCATGTAACACGAGAGGCTTAATAAATGATAAGCCTTTTGGGATTATCCCGCTTGGTGGCAATATTGTTATTAATAATAATAAAAATTAATAAAGTATTGAAGTTTAGTTCGTTGTATAACCTTTTGAATACCACTCGATGTTTCAGGATTATCTAATACTTTTACTCGACACTCAACGCGTTATCAGCAACAACACTCCTCCTTCGGAGTCGTGGTGTTGCTGCGTAATGCGTTTCGTGACAGGTAAAAGTATTATCCGGTATTCCTGAAACCTATTGTGGTATTACATTCGACAATCTATATTTACTAAATCGACTAAGGATTTTGTTTTATTGCAAAAATACAGAAACAGAAAATTGTTTTTCTTTGGTCTAGAATTTCCCCTACACACATTATTCAATCGCCTTGTTGGTCCCCTATTTTTGATTTCCATGCTTAGGTCTAGAATTTCCCCTACACACATTATACAATCGCCTTGTTGGTCCCCTATTTTTGATTTCCATGCTTGTATTTCTAATTATGTGTCGACAGGAACTTCAATTTTCATGGTTTTAGATTTTTGAGTTTCAATATTCTCTAAAATATCAATATCAACTTTCCGAACTGTTTTATGCCCTCTGAAACTTCTCCAAATAGTTTATTGCTCATCTTAACATTATGCTTTCAACTCCCTAGGGAAGACAATTCTTCTAACGAATTTACGAACGTCTCGATTTAAAATCCAGTCGATAATCCATGTCAAAGGGATAATATTGATGAGCTTAACGTCAATAGTTTGCAGCAACAGAACGTCCGAAAAGATTTAGTTTGTTGGAACTGTCAAAAATCCGGACATTCGAATAGAAATTGTCCAGATCCACGCAAGACACATTGCTTTCGTTGTGGTACTCCCAATGTTACAGTGAGAACTTTTGCTAAATGTTCGCATTCGGGAAACGGTCCTCGAGGGAATCGAAATATAGCCTAGACTATATTATCTCTCACGCTCCTGGTGACCAACGATCATATCTTCAAATTGACATTTTAGGATACTCCATGCTTGGATTGCTAAACTCTGGTGTCAGTAGAACCTTAGTAGGGTTACCTGGGTACGTAATTCTTAGAGGTTTGGGACTCAAATTATTTAAAGAACCGAATTCCTGCACAGTTGCTAATGAACAGGTTTGTAAAAGTATCCGTTACACCCACATTCCAGTCACATTAATGACTAAAACAAAAATTATTGACATCATAGTACTCCCCGAACTTTCTCAAAAGATCATTTTGGGCATAGACTTTTGGAAGCATGTTGTAATAATACCTGAAATGGGTCAAGATGTTTGGCGTTTTAGTGAGCTCGTTAACTCTGTTGATGTTTGCAGTGTCCAGAATATCGATCGTTTATCAGTTGCTGAAAGGCAATCCCTCAATAAATTGATTGCGGATCGAATTTCAAGAATGGGTTCAGGCTTAGGATGCTGTAAGGTCGCTGAACATGAAATAATCTTGGAACCTTGAACGAGGCCTATAAAGCAACGTTACTATCTCTTTAAACAGAAGTTCATTGATAAGGAAATAGAAGAAATGTTAAAGAGGTTTCATAGAAAGATCCAATAGTCCCTGGTCGATTTTGTATCAACTTTAGACAGTTAAACCTTTATTCCAAGAAAAATGCCTTTCCTATTCCATATATTCCTACTATGTTAGACCAACTACGTAACACTCGATTTGTTAGCTCTATCTATATCAAGTCTGCTTTAGCCACAAACTCACGAGAATACACAGCTTTCAATGTTCCTATGGAAGGGGTTTATTTCAATTTTGTAGGACGCCTTTCGGTTTGTCCAATCCTCCTGCTACTTGGCAACGCATCGTGGATACTATCTTGGGTTCAGAACTTGAACCAAATGTTATGGTTTACCTTGACGATATTGTTATCACAACTAGTAATTTCTCTGAACATCTGAAACTTTTAGAAACCGTTTTTGATCATCTTCATGATGCTGGTCTTATTGTTTCCGTAGAAAAATGCAGTTTTTGTAAGCCTGAGCTTAAGTACCTTGGTTATCTCGTTGATGACAAAGGTTTAAGACTTTACCTTGAGAAAGTGGAGGCCATCATTAATCTTTCCGCTCCTCGTAATATTAACGAAATACGCCGCTTCATCTTGGTACAGGCAGTTTGGGTTAGTTTTTCCTCCCTTATTTTATCTGCCATTTTGAATTTAACAAAAAAAAAAAAACGTTAAATGGGATTGGACCTCCCGATTGTCAAAGATCTTTTACCTTTCTGAAGGAATGTTTAGTAACTGCTCCGGTATTGTCTGCCCCAGATTTTGAAAGAACCTTCTGTTTGCAGACGGATGCTTCGTCTTTTGGTCTTGGTATCGTTCTGTCTCGTCTCGTCTCGAGAGGCCAATTTTCTCACGAAAAGACACTTCGAGACGAAACGAGACGAGAAAATGCTATGTCTCGTCGAGAATTTCTTGCTTTTTAATGTTTAAAATAACTGAATAAGGAACGCTTTAATTTATGTGTTTATGTAACTTTCTGTCTTGAATAAATTATTTAAATATACAGGGTGTTTCTCAAATTGGGTCCCTAACATCAAGATGCGATTGCCTATATGTATTTGAGAATATGTATACGGAAATGGGAAATGGTTCTTTTCTATGATACTTTATTTTATTTTATTTTAATTTTATTTCATTGTAACTATTTTCATGTAATTAAAA